TGCCAACACCGGTCGTCCCGCAGCGCGTCCAGCGGCGATGTAGCATCGAAGGTCATACTCTTGACGATCAGCTGCTGGTCCTCCGAGAAAAACATAAAAGCGCCGCTCGCGCCTTCGCTCAGCCGCTCCTTTGTCGTTTTCATCAGGCTCTTCACGTACGCGTCGGTGGATATGCCGTAGAACGCCCGGATACGGGCAAACGTGGCCAGGCAGTAGTCGACAAAGAGCGTCGTCGACGCCATGCCGCCCTGCGGGGTCAGGTGGAGCTCTCGCTTGGGCATGTCGCTATCCTCGGCATCGGTGGCCGCAAGGCGCGCGGCCTGGATGAACCCGGTCGTGGTGTAGTACAGCACTTCTGCGCGAAGGGCCTGGTTCACTTGCGGGCTCAAGTCGACGTCCTCATCGACCTTGGCGGCGGTAGGAGGCGTCGCGGTGGACGACGACGGATGCTTCCTGGACACATCCGTGAGTTTTGTCCACGACAGGGGGTGGCACACGCACCCCGACGGCACGACCCACCATGTCGATGGGGACGGTGAGAACGATCCCTTCAAGGTGGATGTCCAAGCCATAGCTCTGGGGGGTGGAGCTGTTGCCATGGGACGACTTGTTCGTCCAGTTTGCCATGCCCCTAAGGTCGACGACGTACATCAAGTGTGGCGACTGGTTGTGTCGTACAACGGGGGGAAGTAGAGACCATCGGGACGTCGCTTTTGCTGCAACAGGGCCGTTCGAATCGTCCAGTTCAAGTATGCCGCAATGTCCCCTGTCGACTGGTTCACTTCATTCGAGAGCAGCTGCAATTCCGCACTGACGTCGCCCGAGTATACCATGACAGCCTCTCGCAGATGCTCAGCATCCACGTGGGTGTCGTTGATAGCGCGTTGGAGGTTCTCGAGTTGTCTACTCCACGACTGCTCCACTTGGATCATCATGTCCAGATTTGCGTCCATTTCGTTGAGGACTAAAGTGGGCGACACCGATTTGGCGCCGGCCATGGCCAAGACCGGTTCCATCGCAGTCCACATCGACTTGATTTCCCGCAACGATTCTTGGGTCGACTGGAGCGCTTGCCCCATCGCAATGGGGAGGCCATTGGTTGCAGACGGAAACGTCAAGCTGTCTTGGAGCGACGTGGCGATCTGCTGCATTCGGTCGAACCGACGGTTGGCTTCGTCCGCGCCCATCTCCACCGCACGCTGCATCGCCAAATTTGATTCGTTCAATCGACGGATGAGCCCTGCTTTGTGGCCTTCGGTGATCGTCGTCACGTCGCCGTCCATGGTGCTCGTTGATTTGAAACCACACAAAGAAATCAAAATATCCTTTGCATTTGATGAAGAACACCACGGCAGCCGCGATTTCCTAAGCTTCGCTCGACGACGCACCCGTCTCGATGGCAGACGCGGCGGCCACGTCGGCGGGATCCGCGACCTGTTCCGAGGCGGCCGTCACTGCTTTGAACACGTCGGCGATCTGCGAGTTGGACAGGCCAGCGTCCTGCGCTCAGCTTCCCGGCAGACGTTGCGCAAGCGGTTATTTTGAATATTTTTGTCTTCTTTCGGCGAATCAAATCAGCTACAGAAGTACCAGGAGTTCCTTGCCAACTTCAAGTGTAAAAAAATTTCGAAGTCTACTACAACGCAGCTCATACAAATTTCCATATAACCTGGAGTACCACTTTGTCGAGTTTTTATCAAGTTGACTGTAGTGGTGAGGCTGATGATTGATGAAAACCAATGAATTTTACCTTGATCCTCATGCGTCTTTTTGAAAATAACCTTGCGGGAATGTTACTTTTGAACAACCTGTCATTTGCGATTGGTTTCGGATAAATATCCGTAAGACGGTTGGATGCCTTCGCTCACTGTAAGTACAAACTTGAGCAATATTGCCCCCCTTTAATTTTATATTCTAACCAGAAATTGATACGTGACTTCAAATACAACATCATCCATTATAAGAGATGAACGACTTGACCAGAGATTTTTCATCGTGTTTTTTTGGTTTTTTCTAGAATGCTATGTACTGTACAATTGTTGTTTTAGTCGAGTACTTCCTAAATTGCTTCATAAACTCCACGTTCATCCACCACTCCTCCTCCATGGCCAGCCAAAGCTCCGTGACACCAGCTAAGAGACTTCCGTCCCTCCGCAAGATAGCAAATGCAATCGATGCACTTGCTGCTCTAGAAGAACGCCGACTGGCCAAGCGCGAAAGATACTCAATTGAGTCCAATGATGCAACTGCTGAGGACCTTGACTCTGCATCGCCCGTCACAGGCCAGTACATTGCCGTAAAAGGAGTTGAGGTTGTCCACACCCTCACCAACTTTACAGTGTCCGAGCTCATTACACTGTGGACCAATATCAAGCCATATGTCTCAAAGAACTGGAACGTCGGCGGTGGACGCAAATGCCCAGTGACTGGAAAGGACATGCTCTTCATGACACTCGTGACGCTGAAGCACGGAGGCACGTGGGACATGCTTGTTGCCAGCTTCGACGAGAAGGCAGCTACGTTCAGCAATCGGGTCACCCAGTTTATCCGTGTTCTCCATCCATACCTGGTCCTTATGTACAGTGCATCGACGAACAAGGCATCAAGTGGACAATGCATCAGCTTGCCGTGGCCGGTCTTCAATTCGAAACGCACAAGTCGGCCCTATACGCAGTTGATGTCACCTTCCAGCAAACTACTACACCCGCCGTGTCATTCAACAAGAAGACGTACTTTTCCAAGAAACATGGCTTGTATGGTCACAAAGTTGAGCTGCCTGTGGGACCGAACTGCTTGGCGATCAATGTCGCCGATTGCGCAGTGGGCAGCACATCCGACTTCGAAATGTTCAAGGCCAACCTGCGTTTTCACTCCAAGCACCTGGAGAAGCAGCCGAACGACAATAACGTCAGCGACAGTGATGCACTGCGTGACAGTTTCGCAATCAATGGGCCGTTCTTGCGGATAAGGGCTACCAAGGCATCCAAGATTACGTCCGTGGTTTTACTCCAGTCAAGCGCCCACCACACGGACAACTGACAGTGGAGCAAGAGCGAGCGAATGCGAAGTTGTGGTCGGATCGCGTGGTGGTCGAGTACTGTTACGGTAGCCTGAAGACGCTTTGGGGACTGGTGTCTGACAAGTACACGTGGAAGAAGGATGAGTACAACATGTACTTTCAGACTTGTGTTGCCCTGACAAACGTCCTCGTTCGCTTCAATTCTGCGGAGCGTGGACGGTGCAGGCTACAATCAGCACCTTAACCGTTTGTTCTCGATTGGAAGCAAGATCATGGCCAGGAACTTGTCTTCCAAGGCGAAGTATCGCGAAAACGGTAAAGTACGTATTCAGGCTGTGTTAGGTCGTGCAAACAGTGGCTATACCTGCGAGGACTACGTCATTGGTTATGAAGAGACAGAAAATATCTTCGATTAACTTCAACTCAACATAATTTTTTTCAAATATGAATATTTCGAATTTGGGGAAAACATCCACTACAGCCTATTCGTCAAACCGACATGCTTCGCGCCAAAGGCTTGGCTTATAACTTGCTCCATCAACAAAATCATTTCATACCTCCACAACATTATTTCTTGCTCAAGTTATGGCTAGTATCCATCCAATGGGGTTTGTTCGTTAGAAGGATAGCAACTACCTTCTTGATTTACTCGAGCCTTTCAAAAAGTGTATGAGGCCAACAAGACAGTGAGTCACATGTAAAGTCATGCATACATACTCTGTGTGATCAATCACTCGAGTTTGATCCATTCGTTGGTTTAGAGGTTTAATGTAACGTTACTGTGCTCACGTCGGTGGCGCCCGGTGTTCCGTCACAAGTCCCACCTGTGCGTGGCAGGGCATGGCTGACGCCACTGCACACAACACTCCCCCAAGCCATAACCTACCAGACAGACCCAGACTTTGCGTCTTTCAGCGCTTCTTGCTCGCTTGTTTGATTGCCTTCTCCAGCTCTGGGTAGTCGTCGGCATTCTTTACACCTTTAACGTACTTCATGAACACAGCTGGATATTCTTTCATGAGCTTTTTCAGTGGTTCGCGCGATGCTTCAATCGCTTCGAACCCACGCCACAAGACTTTCAGCACGAAGTCCGTCACATCCGGGACAAACTGTGTCCAGTGATTGACTGAACCTTCAGTGATATTTAAATTTATAAGGAGTACTATAACTTATTTGTCATATGTTGTGATTAATAAATTCTTAATATATTTGATCAAAAACCATTCTTTATTCAAAAATAATCATATAAACCAAATATTGAAATTTTAAAATAATAAAAGAATTAAAATAATATTGATATACAGTGCCAGCTCTTGTCAATATACGGGGTCCAGGATCTCTTCTGTGACTTCGAAGCTCGACTCGGCATGCATTTTGACACGTTCAGTGTACGTTACTTTTACCATGCTCGTGATTAGGTGTTCGACGAAGACAAAGTCCTCGCTAACTTATTTGACTCGACATGGCCCGATCCACGTCACCAGTAACTTCAGATGGTTACGTTCGTCATCGCGGGACCATAGCACGTAGTCTCCAGCTTCAACGTTGCACTTCTCGATACTTTCTGTCTTTTGCACCGAATTCGTCACACGCTTGCCATTCTTATCCGTCAGTTCTTGTTCATCTGATGAGGCTTGAAGCCTTTCCTGATAGTTTTGGATGTCCCCGTGTTTCCACTGGACTTCACAAGTTGTTGGTATACCGTCCATCACTACGACATTCAATGGAGTTGCAGGATTCAAAGCCGTGAACAATTCGGTGGGTGACTTGTTGGCTAAAGACACTGTCGTTGTTTTGTAGATTTTCGATTGTAGTACAGGCAGCAAGTCGTCCCATTCTTCTTGGGCCAACTTGTACTCCCTTAGCAAAATCCGTATGACTTGTCATATGTCGCGGTTGAATCTCTCTACCGTTCCATTTCGCGGGTAATTATGCCAGAGTAAAGTTGTGCTTGACCCGCAACTTGTGCACAAGTGCTCGAATTGCCACGTTCTTAGAATGAGCACCTTGGTCACTTATCCCGACTCTCAGTATTCCACATCGCTTTGACCAGTCGACTAGGGCACGATACACACTTGGCTCGTGGGTTCGTCGCATACCACCAGTTCGCAAATATGCGTCAGGTAAACTTTGAGGACAAACACATACTTTGCGCCTCTAAATGCTTATCCCATGTAGAGGTGACCGAATTGGATTCCTTCGTTGCGCTCTTTTGCGTGCCATCTTGGAGCATAGGGACGATGTACAACCTTCCCCTTTCTCATGTGGTCACAATAAACAGCCACGCAGGAATTCACTTGCACGTTGGTCGACCTTGTCCAGGTAGAATAGGCGCCAGATAGTGGCTACTAGCGCAGCGTGGCGTCAATGCCCCATGCTACCGCAGTGGGCGACAATCATGATCCGATGGATCAGTTCGTCCGCACCTTTCGGTATCCACAATCGACCCTTTACTTTCCATAGACTTGTCATCGAGAAGTCGTGTTTTGGTATCGGCGGTGAGATATCCTGCGGTTTTTGGGCTTTTCGCTTCTTGGTCTAACGATGTCCATGTCGTACACGCATTCGCCTTACCACCATGTCCCTTTTTGGGTAGCCCCAGCGGCTGATCATGTCCGCCCATAGATTGTGGACACAATCAATATGTATGATCTCGTAGCGATAGTGAGAAATGATCGCCGCCCCGCGCATCAATTTACCACGCGTGTGTGTCTTCCATTATTCGCCAGGTGCAAACACATGGATGAGATTGACAGACTAGCAACTCGTGGACTTGCTGTTGAATGGGCAGGTCCTCTTGTAAGTTCACCACTTGGGTAACCACAATTGACCACCCGTAATTGCTTGCGTCCGTGAACAGACACGTCGTGGCGTCATCACGTGGGTGAGACAGGTCAACCGATTGTCGTAACTTGGTCTCACAGCATCAAACTCTCGCTTTTCATCATCGGATATTACACCAGACGCGATCCGCTTTTTCTTGCCCTTTTCCTTCCAGCGCCTTGTTCAGGCGCATCTAAGGGGGTTGGCCGTCTGCGCGTACTTCGTCATTGAATCTCTCATCCAATCCACCGCGCACACAAACTGCTGGAGCTCGCCAACGTTCGTCAGGTATGGGATGGCACAAAGTCGTTCAATGCGATCGGGAACTTGCATCACATCTTTGCGATTAATTATGCGATCAAACCTCTTGACTTCGCTCGTGGACAGCTTGGTATTCTTTGGGCTGAGCGTTGAACCCATATTGGTCAACGTGGTCAAAGAACCTCACCAATGCGCCGAGGTATTCCGGCACATCGTCGGCAAAACCAATGATGTCGTCGATCGAGATCAGCAGGTTCTTGTAGAGCAGACCTTTGTATCATTCCTCATTCGTTGCCTGGACGTGCAAGGCGATATCTACGCGTCCTTGCATCACGCGGTTGTGTGATGCATCCGTTCAACATGAACGACAGCGTGTCCCTACGTCTTAGTGGAGTGGAAATTGCAAGAAGCATTTGGGTTGATCAAAGACATCCATAGCTTGCTTCCCTCGGAGATTTTGCAGTATGGTCGCTTGAATGGGCATCGTCCCTGCCTTCGGCTCGGTAAGGGAGTTGACCACACGGTAGTCGTTAGTCAGCCGGAAGTGTCGCAGCACATCCTCATCAGACCACATTGATGGCTCCTTGCAAGTTTTTTCTTCCTTCGGGTTTCATGACCTGGTTGACCGGACTACATCACGCACTCTACCCGTTGCTCCGGATCACTTCCGCGTCACATAACTCACTAGGAGGTAACAAGGAGGTTGTGCTTCCGATCTTTACATCGGTACGGAACACGTCCACCCTTAGGCGTCACCATTACAGTGAACGGGGAAATTTAAGCCACACCGAAGTTTTCCATTACTCATATCACAATGGACCAATCATAGCACAGGAAAAAATAAGCCACTCTAATTGGTTAAAATTCATTCCCGCCTAATCAACAATTTAGAGCCCGCGATTTTTATCATTGTTCATCCCATGGACGATTGCGATGACGCTAGAGTCGTTCGGCGGCACACGTACCCCATATCACTTAAACTAAGAGGCCTTGAGATGCTTAAATCAATGAGCTTTCGAAAGGTGGCAGCTCAACTCAATGTACCCTACAGCTCCGTCCGAAACTGGCAACGAGTAGCTTCCGACTTGCAAGGCTACAAAGGTTGCAAAAAGACCAGCAACCTTCCTGGTGCAGGTCGACCAACAATCATAC